TGCTAATGCACAGGGCTCGCCTTCTGTCCCTCAAAACCCAATTGCCAGGAGAGCTCTGAGATGCTCATTCCTAACAGAGTCAGAGCTGCTAATGGCTTAGCATACTGTCCCTCTCAAACGAACTCATAACTATTCCCCCGCAGTAGGACTTACCAACTGGGCCGGGCAGGGGTTTCTTTTTTCAAACATCCACATGGTAGTGGCAACATTTCATCCCTTTGAAGCTCCCTGCCATGTTTTAAAAAATACAAAAAAACCATGCACACAATTAATAACTATATTGAGCTATGCTGTTTCATATTGTAGCCACTAGCTCCATGTGCCTATTGAGTGATTGAAAGCTGGCTAGTCTGAATTGAGGTGTGTTGTAGGTATAAAATACAAACTGGGAGTTTAAGACAGTGAAAAAAGCTGTAAAATGACTCACTAATTTCTATGTTGGTTACCTGTTGCAATGATATTTTGGATATTATCAGTTAAATAAAATGATTAATGTCTTTTCTTTTACTTTTCTATGTGGTTACTAGAAAATTTAAAGATTTGCATGTGGTCTGCATTTTCTTTCTATTGGACAGTGTTGATAGAGAGATGTGTGCCTCATTCAGATACTTTAATAGTCATTTCATCTGTACCATATTGCTCATTACTCCTCCATTTTAAAAAATGAAACTGAGGTCAGCAATTTGCTCTTCATCGCACAGTTAGCAGCCAGAACAGATCCTAAGCGCTGAGGACAAAACCTCGCCTCCCTGCAGAAACCCAAGGACAACAGCCTGTCTGGATAAAACGTGGACCTGTGTCTCAGACAGGCAAACTTGAACACAAAGCTCTTTTTCTAAAACTTGGTGTTTCCCTTAAATCAATTTTTTTCTGCTTTTTAGGTTGGAACAGCAAAAACAGATGAAAAGATTTAAAAAATTTCATTGCTCTGGGGCTCAGAGGGGTTCTTCATTCTGGGGGAATCGTTCTGAGGGACAGTGACACAGAAAGCACTGGTAAAGAAAGCTCTGTTGTAGCAATGCCTCCCCCCTTTTCATGGCCCCTCACCCCCTATTTAAGTTTCTTCTTCGGGGAAAATAGATTAACTATTAGCTGACTGTCCGGTTATTTTGCCTCAAGCCCTCCTGCCCTTCCCAAGCCTGGCAGAGGCAGATCACTCACATGTCGCCTTTGCTCTCAGGGACTCTGCTTTGCTTCCCCTGCCACCTGCTGCCCCTGCCTGGTAACAGCGAGGAGAGAGGGTTAGGCTGCTGCCATCCCATCCCAAAGTCACCCCTTGTGTCCTGCATCCTTGGCCAACACCCACGATGTCCTGTCACATAGAAAGGGTGAGACCAGAGGGTGGGGCAGAAAAAGCCTGGGGCTGCAATCTTGGCTCAAGGAGAGTGAGTCCGCCATCACTGGAGGACTTAGCCTTTACCAGGGTTGGTGTGGATGAAGCTGAAGGTACCTTCCACCCTAAGAGCCAATAATTCTATGGCAAAGGAACTCCACAGAGGAAAGAAACTCTAGATCCTCCTTCCAGGTGGTGGTCCCATCCGTTTCCCCCTCCCTCCCCTTCCAGCCATGGTGGCTGAGTCTGCCACCCATGTTCATGTGTCTCCTCCTGGTTCTGGAATAATTCGGTCTCAAAGGCTAATGGTGGATAAAGCAGCTCAGGCAGTTAACAGTCAGTGCTGATAAGAGAACTCAATAGAGACAACTAGTTCAGGAAACTAGGTTTTGAATGTAACTTCAAAGGTCAATCAATATTCCAAGGGAATCAGCCTGAAGCTAACACACAGCGAGCAGGTGAGGGCCCTATTGTTCCCCACCTCCCTTGTTACATGTGCAACAGTCTACCTTCAAGTTCTCCTTGGATTTCCACATTTTTGCTGATGGTTTACATCCCTTTTTCCTTATGTGTCTTTTTTAATAATTGAAGATTTTATTTGTAGCATGAGAGGAGCAATACATCGCACCCCCTTTATAATTATTTGTATGATTTTACTTGTCACAGACAGTCGGTCTAGAGAATTTCTGGGACCAAGGAGTTATCTGGGTGTCTCATCCCTCACTTTGAAGTCCTCTGTATCCAGCCCCGCGCTGTACTGTGGATCCATGACACAGCTCCTGCCCCTGAGGAGTCTTCACCGAGTTGGGGAGACAGGCGCAGGGCGTGTATGAAGAGCGCGGTATGAATGTGGAAAAGAAGGTACAGACCCTGCCTCCGGCTGGACTGCGTCTCCCACGCCTTCGCACAGACTCGGGCGCAGGCCTGGCACCGCTCTTGGTTAGTTCTGTCCTTCTGTCCCCACACAAGTGAATCTGGGGATTCTCTCAGGTAAAACCTCACTGTGAAACGAAACCTGACCGTGTTCCTCATCTCAGTCTCCCCTTTCCCCTTGGAATTCCTTCCAGCAGCTTAAACCAACATACGCCCCCGTCAAAATGCTCTCGGCTTCCCATAATCGAAGCTGTCCTCCCGGGCATGTGTTACTACTGTCTATACTCTAATCGGCTTTGTATCTCACCAGACGTGTGCACTTGGACAGGCCATGTGTCATCTCTGAGACTCGGTTTCCGACATGGAAATTTGTGCTACTAACATCCTTCCCCACCTCTCTCTCCTTTCATCCACATGCTAAGGAACCAATGGGAAATAATAAAATGATGAAATCACGTGCCAGTATCAAATATCACTAATATTGTGATAGTAATTTGGGTTCACAATCCCTTTTGTTCCTATAGCATTTTTTTGTCAATGAACTTAACTAATAATATTTTATTAAATTTATAACTTTTGGAATTCAATGTCACATTACCGTCATAAACAAAGCCTATACTTTGGCCACCACTAAAAGCATTCTGAATACCGAGCTGCTAACTGGCCCCCATCGCCAGCAGCCCTGTCACATTGTAGCTTTATGTGCTTTGCTCCGCTACCAAGGTGGGGCCAGACAGCTTATCCTGGATTCGTGGGTTCAGCGTTACCCTCCAAGTGTCAGACTGAGCCTCAGCTGTGCCTAGATCTTGGGTTCAGATACATTTCAGCAACTACCCGGAAGTGCCCCAGCCAATCACAATCGTATTTATTTGTAGGAAGCTGAGGAGTGTTTTGTATGAGAACTTACCATGACAAGAGCAATGGGCGAGCAAGTCCAACTCTGTCACAAAGCCTGAGCCGTAAAAGAGGAGAAGTGATTCTGAAAACAGTGTCATTACCATCACTCATCACCTGCGCCAGCCCCGTGGCTCGGATCCACCTCTGCTCTTTAGGAGAGAGACGTATGGTTGTCTAGCGAAAGCCAGAAAGAGCTGGTTCAGTGAAAATGCACTGGCGCAGTGGGGCTCAGGCACGAGGGATCCCAAAACAAAGGGGCCGTGGCCCTGCTGTGGAAATCCTCTCACAGGATATAACACAACATGGGCAGGTCCATCCTGCCCTCCTCCACCCTGTTTGTGCATAAGTGGTGATGTATCCATAAAGATCTTTCTTATTTGCTAGTCTTATAAACTCTCCTTAAACAGTCAATTTTAAAAATAACAATTTTTTATCTTAAAGAAACTTAAAAGGGACTTAGACAAGGAATAAGGAAATTACTGTCCAGGGGGTGAATTTCACTGGAGAAGATTGGACTAGAATGTGGAACGTGACAGATGGCTGTGGGCCTCGCTGAGGCAGCACCAGTACATGACACTTATGGGCAACAGGGGTGTGGGAAGAAAGAGTGGTGTGGGACGTTAGAAGATGGACCATGATGCAGAAGCTGTTAAAAGCAGCAAATATTTGCTCATCCTAAAAAGGAGCCGGCATGGTAGATGTTATCACCATTTTATGGAGGAAAAAAATAAAACCAAGGTTGAGATCACATGGACAGTATCAGACACACCGTTGAAGAGTGAACTAGAGTGTGAACTTTGGGATAATTGCTCCTAAATGGCTGTGCCAGCCTCGTTGCCGTCGTGCTTTGCCAGTAAGTCCATGTTCTCCTTGACTCTCAGAAGGATCTTCAGATAGTGCCTCCATTTATCACTGAGGAAACAGGTGCGGAGAAGTTGTTACTGGACTTATCTGACTTTTCTCCAGGAAGCTGGAGAACACATGGTGGGCTCAAAGTACCATTTTCCTCCATGCTGGTCCCATTCATGTCGACCACACAGCCCATCAAACCAAGGTGGCCAGTGATTTAGTGGCTCTACCCACTGTCTTATAGAATCTGAGTTTACTCCTCAAGCTTCCAGCCTAGAAACTGCTGAACTTGGACTGTTGTGGACCAACATTCACGAGAATAAGACCACCGACTCCAATTAGGTCTTAAGCAGCAAGAGAGGATTTATTGAGCTGGCCAGTGACTGCCACAGGCGTCTCCTCCTGTAGCAGCCCCGACCTTGGTGCTAGGCCAGCTTTTATTCACAGAAACCACAAAACAGTTGGGTAACACACACAAAGTTACCCGGGATACAGACTCATACCTTGTAATTTTCTACTACAGTTTAATATTAGTACATACTGAAAAAACCACAGCAGGGAGACTTGCTCTGTTTGTCTAAGAAGCTGCAAGAGGAAGCATTGTGCTAGCCTTGGGGAGCTCGGTGTCACCTGACTGGAGCATGACCTTCTTCCTCATTCTATGTTAGCCAGTTGCCTTTATTTTATTTTACAAGAGGGGCTTAACTGTAACATGGACTAGATCCTCAGGTTGCCCTTGAGACAAATCACTCTCACATTATCAGCCTGTTTGGCTTGACAGAGCTTCAGCCTTTGTTTCATGGTTTGCACCTGAGTTCATAGGGGCCGATGGTCCAGTTTTTAAATCTACCCTTTACGACTGACAGCACCTTTCCCCAAGACTGCTGGTATGTCCTTGTATTGTCTCAGATCCCCCCAGTTCTATACAAACTGCTGAGGCCTGAAACCATTGCAGCTCCCAGACCTTGACTTTCATCCCCAGCCCATGCCTTTGCATGAAGAAAGCTGCCTGCAATGCACTTCTATTTGCTCCCATCCCTTACACTTACCCTTCAGAATTCGGAAGGCTGTCCTCTTGATGAGTGTTCTCTGTGCTCTTTAGGTGTGCTGATTAGCATAGCTTCCCACTCCACAGGGATTTTCCGAAATACGCTGCAGTCAAGCTCTTGTGTTACCTACAGCTGGAGTAATTGTGGGAAAAGGCTCCACCTGAAAAAAATCTTGAAACACGTGTGTTAAGTTTTGCAAAGCAAAATCACCATTCTGAACCTATGTTCACACACATGTGCACCTAAATTCACATTTGTGGGTGCGTCACCAAGAAACCCAATGAGACATGTTCAAGGCCAATGGTGCAGCTGCAGACAATTCGAGCAATTCCTACTTGCTCTCCAAAATTACTCAGACCAATATTCTGTGCAGTAAATATCTTTTTATAAAATGACATTTAAACTCTGCATGAAAATTTCAGAGAGCAATAAGATGTTCTGAAATTAATGAATCCATCAACTCAGGTGAAGTCTTCCAAAAACCTATCATGTCACAGAGCAATTAATTGGATCTTTTCAGAATTTAAGGTGTTGCTGCTGAATGCCAGAAATAATGGACAGTGCTGGCAATTTAGACACTTGTCTAAATCAAAGGGTAGTTGGCGCTCACAGCATTTATTATGGGTGCGGAAGCAATATCAGTACTTTTCTAGAGACAAGGAATTATTAGTATTGTACTTGTACAAGTAAAGAGAATCTGCTAACTCCACTGAACACATTCCTTTTCTTAGTATCCAGTAGGTTAATGTAGCTTAGCAAATAACCACATGTGGCCGCTGCTCACAGAATTTCCTAGTGTTTTCAGTCCTATCCATGTATATGTATCAGAAATCTGATTTTCTGGGCTCGGGTCTTCTAAATGTCAGGTCCATCCCAATGGTAAATTAAATACCTTAGAAAACGTATTTCCTCTCCCATGGTGCAGACGTTAATGGTCTTTCAGCAAAGGCCAAGACTCTATTTTTAATAGGAAAAAAAATCTATTTCCTCCAGAAATGAGTACCCGTGACTAAGACCATAGCTTTGGTGTTGGGTTTTAGTCCTTTTTCTGTTACTTTTGAGGAAGCACGAACAAGTCATTCAACTTCTCCAAGGTTTCATTTTCTTGTGTGAAAAGCAAGGTAAGCTTAGCTGTCTCATAATGATGATGTAGATGTTCAAAACAATAATTTATGTAGAGCTCTTAGCACAGTGCCAGGCACAAAATTCGTGCTGAGCAAGTGGTATCTACAATCAGATGAGCTCCTGCACAAATTAGTCTGGCAGTTCCCTAATAACTGAATTTATGAGTAAAGTTTTTTCCTAAATTAGAAACATCTAAACACCCTTTAAAAATAAATAGTGTTTCATTTTATTTAAAGCTATATGGAGAATACAGATGGATGGACAGCATTGCTGGCTTGATGTCCTCAAAGCAATATTGTTAAAGGTCAGATCAACTAAAAGGTAAGCTACACAAATTATTCCATGAGTCACTTCTCTATAATTTACATCTGCAGACCGTTTTTATGTATTTATGTCATTCCACTGTTAATTATTGAGCACTATTATGACACAACTAGGCACTGAAGAAAACATTCTAATTAGCTGTCATGTATTATGTGATTATATGCCGGCATGATTCTTAAGGATATTCATTCATTATTTTATTTAATTTCCACCCCAACATCCTGGCATGAGTCCATCTGATTTGAGAGCCCAATCCTTAATCACTGTGCCTCACTGAGTATCCTTTCCACTAACTCTGTTATGGGTTGGCTCAACAAGATAAACCACCGACTCAGAATTTAAATTTGAAAGCCTTTTATTAAGCTGGCCTGCTGACCACAGCCCGCACCTTCCCCCTCTGGGAGGTTTGCAGCATGTGGCAAAGACCAAGGGTGCAGTATTATCCTTTATAGCAAAACAGTGTTAAAAAAAAATACAAAGCATTTCATTAGAAGTTCACAAAAAGTTCATGAGAATGGAGGGGAGGTAAACAGAGTCACACCTGGCTGGATTTCATCATAACACATTGTTTTCTAAGACAATCTAGCAATTTTTCTCCCATGGTTCCTAACCCTAATATAATCCTTCTCCATATCCTGACACAATCCCTCTCCATACGTCAGTCCCCGCTCCCAGCACATTCAATTTCTCATGTCTCATTTCCTCCCCTTAGCACATTCTGTAACATTCTGTAACCCTTCCATGGCGCAGTCCCTCACCCTAGCACACTCACCGTCTGGGCCGGCATGGGGACAACTCCGCATGGGTATTTGGAGGCCCAGGGAACATCTTGAGTAGGAAAGTGAGCACCATAACTTTAAAGCATTCATACTCTCTCAGATCACTTCCAGCCTAAGAATCCTATTGGGAATCCCAACCCCAGGTTTTCTCTACTCCACACACCCAGGCTCCCTATTCTGGTTGAGTCACCTAATCCCAAGTAGCCCTGAGGGCTGGAGCCAGCATTCTCACCATTCTTGAGAGTGTGTCCTCTTGAATTTGTTTTCGGAATGTTCTGCTTTTTGACTCTCCTCAGTTGTCTTGGGTCAATCTCAGCTTTGAGACAGGCCATTCCTTTTCTGCCTCAAACTTTGTTTGGTGTATCTGGTTATTTTACCCTTTTTACTTAGAATTCCATTTCTACCTAATCCTGCAGGTTGGTGTCTGCATTTTGATTCTGTCCTAACCCTTGGCCATCTCTTCAATTAAAATAGAATTCATGTCTCCATTCTCCCCTAAGCAGCAAAGGTTAATCTATGAAACACAAAGAGAAAAGGAAGTATAAGAAAAGGGAAGCCTTGGATATTATGCATTATGTTTCGAATAGTGTTTCCTATACAATTCCTTTCCTCTCTCTTTTTCTCACTTCAGACCATTAAATGGGAGATTGCCCTAACCGGTTTGGCTCAGTGGATAGAGCATTGGCCTGTGGACTCAAGGGTCCCAGGTATGATTCCGGTCAAGGGCATGTACCTTAGTTGTGGGCCCATACCCATTGATCTTTCTAACTCTCTATCCCTCTCCCTTCCTCTCTGTAAAAAATCAATAAAATATATATTTTTAAAAATGTGAGGTTAAGGAGCAAAACTTTCTTTTACTCTCAGTTCTTAACTCCAGCTCACCCACAAGATCTGATATCTGAAGAATTTCAGATTATCTGATGTTTTCTTTCTGCTCCTAATCCTTCTTTTTTTCTTTTTCTTTTCTTTTAATAACCTTATCTCTAGACATTTACCTTCAGAACATTCTCTTTCATAGAAGCTATTTCTGCATCAACCAGTGGACCCTACTCTATTCTTTGATTTAGCTAAAATTTCAGTGTATTGATGTGTACAGTCTGTCTCTCTACTAGGCTAAAATTAACCCATAGAGCAAGGAGTAGTTAGAAACAGCACTTACCAAGCTTTACTAATTTTTGAAAGATTTTCTGAAAGAATATGACCTTTTAGAAGTTGAATTCTTCCCTGATAATTTTTTATACACAAGCCAGTAGCCATATGAAGTACTTTAAGTAACATGCTCTTCTCAAGCACTATAGGAATCAAGATCACAGAATTAAACAAATTACTACACTTTAAATAAAGATATTTAATTGAAAATACTATGTGCTGATTCTTTGAGTATCTTCTTATGATGCAAATATGCAAGGAGCTTAGTCTATGTGTTCTCATTTTTGGAAATCAGCTCTTTCTAATAGCCACGTAGTAACCGACTAAATAATAGAGTGAACATTTGTAATGGTTCCGTTTCCAGACAGGTTTCCTGACTGTGTACTTTTCTCAAAGCTTGCTCACAAATGACCCCTCTGGTGCAATAAGAGAAAATGATGGCCTCAGAGATGATCTGAGACTTTAATATGGGAGCAGTGACTATTTTCCAGAGGTCTCTTGATCCACCTTCACAATATTCCAGCATTCCAGCCAACAATAAGAGGATTCTAGAAGGGACCTCAGAGCCCTCTCTGTCCAAAATCCTCACTGAAAATTTGAGAAACACAGTTGCAAGGAGGGGAAGACAAAGTCACTTACTCAAAATAACATGTTACATGGAGGAAATAAAATGAAAATTCAAGTCTTCTAAGGCATTATAAAATTAAAGGCAACTGCTGTAATTAGCTAAATCATTGTGAATAAATAAACATGATGGTGTGCTTCATGTTCTTCATGAATACAAACTGGGTCTTGACCAATGGCGTGTGCTGGAAATAGCATTATGCCATTTCTTAACCTATTTTAAGAAGAATGGCAGCTGCTGCTTTGCCCTCTGGGAACCCTGACCAACAATGAAAGAAACCTTACTATCCCAACACCTCTGCCTGTTGAGAAATCCAAGCCACATGGAAAGGTGCTGTGCTGACTGGCCCTCTATCTCTATTTAATAACAGCCCAACTGAGCCCTCAGCCAATAGTTAGCTTCAACTTCCACCCCTGAAGTCCAGTTCATTTGATCCTTCATATGAATAAAGCTCCAGCCACTATCTGCATGAGAAACCCCACAGAAAAACCACATAAGTAAACCCAGTCAACTCACAGAACCAGGAGTAATAATAATAAACTGTCATTTTAAGCCTCTGACTTTAACAGAGCTAATTGTGCAGCAATAGGTAATCAGACGACCAGCTAATAAAGAAACCACTGAAACATTTTAAACAGGAGAGTGATAATAATTCAGCTCATAACTGAACATTTTGCATAGGTAGGGCCCCGGGAATCAGACTATTTAGAAAGTAGGAGGTAAACACTTTGTCCCCTGCTCTCATACACATTCTAGTTTATTTGAGGTTTGAGGGCTACTGGATGGAACTGAGTAACGTTCCTCCTCCCATATGATATGGTATTTATCACATAGATTCTGAAGATATCAGAGAGGGAGAGAGAGAAGAGCCAAAACCTTACACAGAACTTCTGAACCATGACTGATAAAGTACCAGGTTCCAACTCTGGTAGCAAACTATGAAGATAACATCAACAGTCCCCGCTTCCTGTTGCTCAGACTCTTATGCTTGCGTAATTCCATGTCATGCCAAATAGGGCTGACCCATGTAACCAATATGATGTTGCAGAAATGGCCATGCAACGGGTGAAGTTAGGTTTTAAATGACATTGCAGGTTTTGCCTTGCTCTCTCTTGGATTGCTCATGCTGGTCAAATTTGCTCTCCCCATGTCTGTATTACTTTATAGCAGTGGTTCTCAACCTGTGGGTCGCGACCCCTTTGGGGGTCAAATGATCCTTTCACGGGGTCGCCTAAGACCATCAGAAAACACCTATATAATTACATATTGTTTTTGATTCACTATGCTTGCTTGCGTAATTCCATGCCATGCCAGATAGGGCTGACCCACGTAATCAATATGATATTGCAGAAATAGCCATGCAACCAGTGAGGTTAAGTTTTAAATAAAATTGCAGCTTTTGCCTTGCTCTCTCTTGGATCGCTCATGCTGGTCAAATTTGCTTTCCCCATGTCTGTATTACTCTATAGTAAAAAGCCTTATGTATGGTCAAACAAAATTCTTTACCACATTGTTTATCCTCAGAAATCTGTTGCCTATTCTTGGTCCTCTGTTTTTCCCTCTGAATGTTTAAATTAGTTTATGAAATTATCAACAAAACCTTGTTTGTGTTCTAATTGCATGTCCATTGATCAACATCGTGGAAAGGAACAACTTTAGACTACTGACTCTCTCTTTAAAAACATAATAGCTTTCGCCATATATTTAGGTCTTCTTTATAGTTTAACATGTTCTTGTGAGAGTTTGACTATTTTTCATTAGCTATATTCTTAAGTACTTTATATTTTTCTTCCTTGGTAAAACTGGCATCTCTTAGAAACACTTTTTCTAAATCTGTTACTAGAATATAAAATTCAATTGGAATTGATATGTTGATACCATATTCTTCTTGCTTGCTAAATTCTCCCATTTATTCTAACAATTAATTTGGAGATTCTTTGAGTTTTATATGGTGAAACATACCATTTGCACATAGTCATAATTTCACTTACTCTCCTACCATGTCTAAATTTTCTGGTATTTTTTTCTAAGTGTACTTTCTACAACATAGTACACATATAGTTGAATAGAAGATATCTCTGACGGTGGGACACTTTTACCTTTCTGATTTTTAAGGAAATGTTTTTCATATTTTCCTTTTGAGTCTCTGTAGGCTTTTTTATTATGTTAAGGAATTACTCTTTTCTTCTTCTTTGGTAATACTTTTGTCATTCACTAATGGGTGTAGAAATTCACCAAATAATTTTTTTCCCTTTTACGATGATGATCATGTATTGTTCTCCTTTAATTTCTTAATGATTATACTAATAGTTTTTCATAACCCTTACATTTCTGAGGTCAACTCCTTTTTCTTTTCATTTATTATACACTTGGTGAATTTTATTTTAGTAGTATTTTTGTTCAGAAATTTCATACCTATGTTCTTGAGTCAGATTGGCTTTAAGATTCCTTTCTCAATTGTTGCTTCTCTATTTTCCTTTTTCCCAAATTCTTTCCCCAATATTTTATAACAAGCATTATCAGACAAGCCTGAAGGTTATAGAGATGAACCTCTCTGAGTCCATCACCAAACAACAGCAACCATCTTCTAATGGCCTCTCATTTCATCCACTTTTTTTTTTACCCCGAACACATTGGATTATTTTGAGGTAAATCCTTCACAATATAATTTATCTGTACGTACTTTATTATGTAGTTCTAAATTATAAGAAACTTTAAATAATATAATTACAATACCATAATCACACCTAAAAAGAATAGAAACCCTCAACATTTTCCAATGGTCCCTTGTAGTCAGTGTCTCACTGTGCAGTTGTGATTAGCTGGTTATTAATAACAGGGAAAGCGAAAGGGAGGCCAGACGTTCTCAGCGTGTCCCTTTGGGCAGCGTCACCAGGAAGTGCCAACTTCCCACCCCAGGCACTACCGGCCCATTTCCCACAATGACAGGGGAAGCGACTGGGCAACAGGGAGTGGAAGAATAAAGTTGGGGGACATAGGGAAGGTGCCTGTCATTCTAACCTGGAACAGAATCCACAGCAAACACAGAACAATGTGGGAATAGATGATCCCCAGACAGAGGAGCGAGCTCTTGTGTGGCTCTCTGCGGCTCCGGTTTTGCTCCTGCTTCCTTGCCTTAGCCCATGTTCCTAGAGGCCGCACAGCCCATGGCCATTGTGAGAGTAAACAAGTAATCTTTTCTGTCAAAGAAGGGAATGTGGGCAGCTGCCATTTTGGCCCATGTGACTTGCAGATCCCCTGGGGGCTGCCATTTTGCAATGGCAAAGGTCAACCCCACCCTTTCCCATTAAATTAGCCAATTGTGCAAGACTGTGAGCCTCAGCTCTGACCAATCAAGAGTGAGGGGCAGATGACGTGTTTCAAACATAAACCCCTAGAGGACTGCCGGCTTAGTGAGCGTGCTCCCAGACCCTGTGTGCGTGTGCACCCTCCTGCAAGAGTGAAGACGTTTGGCTTGCTGTCTGGCTCCCAAGTATCCTTTGTGTTCTGCCAGGACCCCTGTTTTTGGAGATCACCTTATTTCTAACAATTTTGGGGGCTTGTCTGGGATTCCATTGGTCACTACGGGAGGCCATTGCATCCCTCCCCTGAGGAGGAGTGTCCCACTGCCACATTGTAGTGGCCTCAGTGAGGAGGGACAACCACTACCCAAGGCCTCCTCCCTCCTGGGGGACTACAAGCTGGGGATGGAGAGTTAGCCAGCGATGTGGGAAGGTCCCAAGCAAGCAGCACTGCGGCAACCAGGTAACCTCATGCATGAGCCAAGGTGGGAATTGGACTGAGTACTACTTTGGTGATTGGGTATCCTCGGAGGTCGGGTATATGTGACTGGGCTGTGTCTTGGACATGAAGCAAGTGTGGGGTTCTGATCGGCAGTTCCATTCTCCCGCAAGTGAAGCAGCCAGAGAGGGATGAAGTGGATCTCGAGGAGTGCAAGAAACCTCCAGTGTGGGAGGTTAAGCACATAGTCACAAGGGAGTTTCCATGCATGGGAAACAAAAATTCAAGGCCTAGGAAATACATTCACCCAGATAGTCTATTAGGAGGTTTGGGGGAGAGGACAGTCCCTGAACCAGGAGCAGGAGACATTGCTCTGCTTCAGTGTTTGTTTTTTCGTGGTGTGTGTGTGTGTGTGTGTGTTTATGCAGGGCATTCTGTGGTGTCTGTGGTTTGTGCGTGCCTATAAGAGAGTGTCTGTTAATGTTTCTCTTTATTGTTCGGTTTAAGTTGTTTAAAGATGGGGCATGTCCCGCTTTGGGGGAGCTCAGCTATTTGTGGTGAGGCTGAACACCTGCCAGGGATTGAGGGAGTGTCCCAGCAGCTGCTGAAAATTCTTAATCTTGGGGACTCTTCCTGCTTTCCCTCTCAGGGTATCAGCCATCTGAAACTTCTAGCTAGTGAGAGGGTTTTTGGTCTATAATATAAATTTGGTTACT